GACACTGCTACTGTTCTGCTTCTAGCACTGGGAGGGTGGGGAGGGGTCGGCCAGTCTCCAAGCCTATACCTTCCATCCTCTGTTTGGCAGTGAGGGCTTAAACCGCCATTTTCACCCCTGTTTCCTCAGTCTTTGCTCCAAGGTCTCTGCTCTGAGTGTTGGGTTCAGCCGTGTTATATGCTGATCCCTCAGGTGGGACTGTTGGCCATAAGGGGAGCCCTCACAGTCCGAATTCTTCCTTCTCCCTGTGACTGCTGTAGCTCCGGAATGCAAGGAGCTCCGATCTCTGGTCTGTGTCCTGCGGGCCGCCCGCCCCCCCCAACGGCTGCCTGCGTGTCCACACTTTCCCCTTCTCTCCTCCCCTGCTCACCCGATTTGTCGATTTGTTTAGATGATTTCAATTGCACATCTTACTCTCTTACCTGTCTGCTGTGCAGGGAGTCCTTTGTGGAATCATAGCTGTTCAATTTGTTGTAAATTCCAGGGGAGATTTCAAGAGGCTCACCTCACACCGCCATTCCTATGTCGTAATCTAAGTGTGTATTTTTTATCACTGGTTTTGAGTAATTTGATTACAGTATGCCTTCATGTAGTTTTTTCATGTTTCTTGTGCTTGTATTCATTGAGATTCTTGGATCTCTAGGTTTTTGGATTTCAACAAATTTGGGAATTTTTTTGGTCATTATTTCTTTATATATTTTTTCTCTACCTTCCCCATCTGGCCACTGTTTTGAGGATTCACATTATAGGTATGGTAGCATGATTGAAATAGTCCCATTGCTCACCAATGCTCTCTTCATTATTTAAAATTTTTCTTCTTTCTAGGTTTTATTTTGTAAAGTTTAATTGCTATGTCTTCAAGGCAAATAATCTTTTCATTTGCAACATCTAATCTGCTGTTAATTTAATCCATTTGTACATTCCATCTCACATGTTATAGTTTTCATCTCTAAAAGTTTGATTTGGGTCTTTTTTATATTTTTCATGTCTACTAAATTTTTTCAATATGGGGGATACATTATAATAATTGTTTTACTGTTCTAGTCTCATAATTATAGTATCTTAATATCTTTGTCCGAGCTGGGTTGGTTTTGATAGATTTTTTTTCCTTATGGATCATATTTTTGTGTTTCTTTAGATGTCTGGTTATTTTTTATTGAATGTCAGACACTGAATATTGTCTTTATGGGTGTTGGATATTTTTGTTTTTCTATAAATGATTTTGAACTTAGTCTGGAATGCAATTAAGTTACTGGAAAACAGTTTGAGCCTTTCATGACTTTCTTTTAAGATCTGTTAGGTAGTACTTGAATAGTGCTCAATCTAGAGCTAGTAATTCGCCACTCCTGAGTTAAGACTTATCTGAATATTCTACCCCATTACTGTGAGGTGATTTTTTTTTTTTCAGGCTGTGGAAACAGGCATGATTCCTAGCCCCAGTGCCAAGCACTGATTTCTAATCATTTCGGTCTTTCTTTCCCTGGCCTTATGGAATTTCCTCATATGCAGTTAGTATCAGTGCTCAGCTGAATTCTCAAGGGGAACTCTCTGAAGTTCTCTGGAGTTCTCTTTGTGTGGCTCTTCTCCTCTCCAGAGAATTCTAACCACCTTGTCCTCCTCAATCTTATAGCACTGTCTCCTCAACCCAAGTTGTTTTTGGGCGCCTCCTGGTTTCCCTCATTCTACACTATACCTTCTCTTTCCTGACACAGCTTCATATGCCTGCCAGTTTGGTTTTTGTTGTTGTTTTTTAAACTTTATTGTGGAACAGTGTGTTTTTTCCAGGACCTGTCAGCTCCAAGTCAGGTTGTTGTCCTACAATCTTAGTTGTGGAGGGCACAGCTCAGCTCCAAGTCCAGTCGCTGTTTTCAATCTAGTTGCATGGGCCACAGCCCACCATCCCATGTGGGAGTCGAACCGGCAACCCTGTTGCTCAGAGCACACGCTTTAACCAACTGAGCCACCTGGCTGCCCTCCTACCAGTTTGGTTTTAAGTTCTTGCTTTCTTTTTGGTAAACAGGAGCTCCTCTTTCTTGCAAGCGCAGCTATTTTTAAAAATCTTTTTTATTTTGAAATAATTTTAAATTTACCAAAGAATTGTAAAAATAATTCAAAAATTTTCTAAGACCCCCTCACCCAGATTTACTAATTAACATTCTGTCACATTTGCTTTATCACACATGTTCTCCCTTTCTTTTTCTCTACTCGTTCTCCAACTGCTATTTTTTTCTGAACCATTTGAAAGTAAGTTGAGGACATCATGCTGTTTTATACCCCTATATTCTTTAGTGAATATTTTCTAAGAACAATGACATTGTTACTCATAACTACTATATCATTATAAAATTCAGAAAATTTAACATTGATGCATACTGTTATTGTGTAGGAAAAACTCAGTCTACCTCCTGTGTTTCTCCTTTACTAGTCACGCAGAGCACTTCATTTCTGACATTCTAGTCACCAAATGGTGGGGATTTTTCCCATAACAAGCAATTCTGCAGAATCACCTGGGGTGTCTTACAGTTAAACTCAATTCTGACACTATCTACCTGTAGATAGCATCAGATGACACAGATTAAGGGCATAGTCCCATGAGACTCCCCTCCAGTACCCCCAAGTTACCCATAACTTCTGTCCAACTTGGCTACAAATCGGGGAGGTTCCCATGATCTCCTCTTTCTTGGATTCCGTTATTTGCTAGAAAATCTCACATAACTCAGGGCAACACCTACTTATGTGTACCAGTTTATTATATAATAAAGGATATGATAAAGAATACAGATGGACAGCCACATAAAGAGATACATAGGATGAGATCTAGGAGAGTCCTGAGCACAAGAGCTTCTGTCTCTGTGAAGTTGGGGTACATCATCCTCCCAGTACGTGGATGTATTCACCAACCTAGAAGCTCTCCGAATCCCATAGTATTGGGATTTTTATGGAGTCTTCATAATGTAGGCATGATCAATTACTAACTCCATTTCCTGTCCCTCTCCTCTCTATAAAAATGGGGTGGTGGTGGGGGGGAAGGGAATGAACATTCCAAGCTTCTAATTATGGCTTGGTCTTTCTGGTGACCAGTCCCAATTCAGGAACCATCCAGGAGGCCTCCCAGAGTCTCTTCATTAGAACAAAAAACATATCACTCAGAAAATTCCAAGGGATTTAGGAGCCCTGTATCGGGAGCTAGGGTCAAAGACCAAATATTTGAAGACAGGATGTTCCTAGTGCTCTTACCACTTAAGAAATTATAAAGGTTTTAGGAACTCTGTGCCAGGAACTAGGGTTAAACACTAAATATTAGAACAGAAGATTCTCCTGGCACCCCTATTTACAGGGCTTCAGGAGCCCTGTGTCAGGAATGGGAGGCAGATAGACGAGTATATATATTTCATATATATATTTTTTTCTTATTCTTTTACAACTATTATTAGTATTATATTCATCTTCACATTTTCACATCTTCACAGTTGTCTCAATAATGTCCTATAGATCTACCAATAACCTGACTTTTTAAATTTTTCTGCTTCCTGCTTTTAACTGTTTGGTCTATCCATAGTTCCTCAGAAATAGAAATAAAGATGGATGGATGGATGGATGGATGGATGGATGGATGGATGGATGGATGGATGGAGATAGGCAGGCTGACCTGGGAGGTCATTACCATTGTTGTTTGGGCAGAGCTTTCCCTACCAGGCCCCTCATCATTTGCTTACCAATCTCTAGGCTACGTCGGGTACCCATTACCAACCCACTCAGTTATATGGGGAGGAGGTGCAGTTGGAAAGGAATCATGATTTTCAGAGCACAGATTATTTCTTTAATTGGAGAGGGCAATTTCTCTAAGTGGCTACTGCGGATACAGTTGGTGATGTCTGTCTGCATCCTGGTTCTTCATCCTGCCAGAAAAGAGCCCTACTCTGCCTGTAGGCAATGTGAGCTAACTGATTTACTTTGAGTTATTTTCATAATATTAATATGATATTTATTTTAAATAATGATAATGCTGAAAATTAGTATAAAACTAGGACAAGTATTTTCAATAATTTAATACCTTGTATTATTCACTAAAAATACTGTGAAGCCATGACTGTTAATTAAGTCTGCCTTGTTAATTTGGCTTGATTGAGAGGTATAACTATAACTCAGTATACTTCCTTAAACTTTTCTGTTTATAGCATCATCATTTAGTATTTTCCTGAAAAGAGCTGCTCAGCGCTTCTGTGAATATCTGTGTAGACTAGCAGTTAACATTTCCAGGAGGCAAAACTAGACTTCCCATAATGTACAATTTGCCTTTGAAAATTTTCTTCATTGAGTAGCACTTGTTCATGTGTTGTTATTTAACATGACTGAAATATTAATAACTAATTGTTTAAAGTGTGGTATTTCAGTTAATTCCATGTATAATTAAAATTTTTAAATACATTAACATTTCACAACATAGTCTATAATTGGGATTAGGACTATTTGTGTTTGCTGTTCAAATACTCAGTATAATATTTGATAATTGGATAAAATGCTGTTTTTCTTATCAAGTATATTTGTTTAAAATTTTAGAAGGGATATACTAGAGAGCTTGGAAAATTTGTATTTAGTAAAATTATTTGATTATTTTCAGGTATTAAAAATACAAAATAGTTTTTTTTGGAATCTTACAGGCTTATATGACTATTAGATTTTGTAAGTTTGCATCCTTTAATGATACTTCTTTTTCTGTCACACATAAAACATTTGATCTCTAGGTCATGCTCGAAATGGGATAAAGACAGGGAAGAGTGAGATGAGATACCCTTTCAGTTCTTTTCTTGAGAACATAAAATTATCCCATTTCCTTTAAGCAGACTCTCCCAAATGATTAACTTTATTTCACAAGAGGATACCCATCTTTATTTTAAGGTACAATACTTGCCTTGTATATCATGTGAATTGTTAAGTGTGTTGACATTTAAAAAGCTGTCTGACTGAACCAACTATTTATAACAAGCCCAGGCCAGCCATAGCTCTTTGGAAAGGGCATATAGACTTACTGAAGTTAAAACTACTACAAGGCAAGATTATTCTAGAGACATGAAGTCTGGCTTTTGACTTCAGGAAATATCACTTTGGAAATTGCTCTCTAGGTAGGATTAAATATAAAAGTTTGAAATATGCATCTAAAATGAATTAAGTTACCATACTGAATTGAACTCATTGCCAAGGAATTTTTAAGAAGTGTTTGGTTACTATTATTTGAAATTACCGTAGGAATGTTTGAAACCGAATTGTGGAACTACCTTATAGTGAAGGCTTTAAAAGAACATGGTCTTTTCTGGCTGCAAAAATCAGATTTTATTATTATCATTAAAGTTGATAATGAGAAAGCTATTAACTAGTGGTGGATATTTAACCTATGTCTAATTGAAAGGTAAAATTGCTTAACTGTATGCTTATAAAAAGAAAAACTTCTGCCTATTTATATCCCAAATTATAAATTGTGCTAGTCATTGTAATAAACAGCTAGGTGACAGTTAAAATACAAGAGTCTAGGATTCTTAGGTATTTTCTGGATTCTTACTCTAAGTGGTGGAAATGATTATCCATTTACTATTAGGATAGTTCTCATTTTTATACTCTATAACGTATATATGTACATATACATATATATACATCCTGTATGCTGTTTGCTATATATAAATATAGTAATACAAGTTTATATATACTGTATAAGATATATAGGTACAGTATACTATATACTATATATACTATATACTGTACATAATATATGTATTGTGTGTGTGTGTGGGGAGAGAGAGAGAGAGAGAGAGAGAGAGAGAGAGAGAGAGAGAGAGAGAGAGGCAGACAGATAGACATAGTGTCTATAGTAGAGAACACTGCATTTCTAGGCTTTTTTTATCATGTATTATAGAGAAATAACTATTTTATCATTGATCTTTGGTCTCTTTAGTTACAGCAGTTATCTTCTAACTTCTCCTTTGCCATATTATTTAAAGTTGTATTATAGAATTATTGGTGGCAATTGTGTATATTTATCTTTTCATTTTTGGTGGCAATTGTATATATTTATCTTTTCATTTTAGCCCTCTACTAACCAGACTATTGTTAAAGGATACATTTTAAATGAGAATATGAACATGATTTTTATATATAAATTGAACATGAGTCAAAGATTTTATTTAACTCATTAATTAATGATGTTAAGATATTTTGCTGTTTTGAAGTACCATATATTTGACTATATTTATAAGTATAATCAAATAAGAAATGCTGCAATGGATTTACAAGTCAGTGTAGAACAGGGAAAACTGATCCACTGACAATAATCAGGACCAATTTGCATTTCTGTAGACAGGAATTATTTGTATTATCAGTTTTCTACAAGTTAACTTCTCTATATATAAAGTTATTTAAAAAGCCTCATCAATCATGGCCAAGCTAGCCAAGACACCCATTAAATTTCAGTCTTTCACAATTTTTCCTTAATGTTCAATACTGGTTTCTTCTCTGGGACTTTATATTAGCTTGATTTTATTAGTTGCATGAGAGAAATTGTTTCATGTCCACCCAGTTATTTCAGGTTAGTCATGTAAATTCTGTGAGAGCAGGCAGCCTCAAAATTCATGAATCTATAAATCAATAATAATACCATGTTCTGGGAGTAAATGCAAAAGTTGAATGGTTAAAACCTGTGTCCTGGTTCAGAAACTAGAAGAAAATAGGGTGTTTATAAATCTAATCTTATTTTAATTGTAATGGAGAAACCAGTTATTTGAAGGAACCCAGCAATGAATACTTTTGAAAATCAAGAATCCTCTTCTAATGGAATTAATTCCTCGTTGCCTTATTTGTTTTATAAATGAGAGCTTTGTATATCAGATTTGAAGTTGGGTATAACTTTAACTCCAAAATAATTACAAGTACTGAACTATGAAAGAAGCAAACATGACATGTTATTTTTACGAAATCCATATTTATATTGCATGATTTTTGCTCTGATGTTTGCTCCCTTGCCAATCATCTATTTTATAATAAGTAATAATATATTAGAACTAACTTATAGTTACATACCCTTCATATATGGGGGTGATATTAAATATGGTGAGGTAGGCTCTACCTATATATCCCTGGCAGTTAGACTGTGAGCCAGTCAGGTAGCCCTGCCTGGGACACTGACTCATGAGGAAGTGATGTTAAATTACTTAGATGAGATGATACAGCTGTGGAGTCTGAGACCTTGGCAGTATGGGAGTGGAGAGTTGGGAAGAGTATTCATCGGGTTCCAGGAACTGTGGGAGCTGAGTATATGGCTTAGGATTTTCATCATACCTTGCCTCCTTTGGTTTCCTCTGGAGCCTGATTCTTTAGGCTACCATTGATTCTGTGATCTACCTGGTTTTCATGCAGTGAGTTTCTTTTATATTACAATTAACTGGAGTTGGTTTCTGTTGTTTATTAAACAAACAAACAAACAAAACAAAACTCTAGTAGAAGAAACAGCCAAGTACATAGTTATGTTTCTAGGTATGTGATCATTCTCACATTTATATAGGACAAAATAGAACATATATTGTGTTTGGAAAAACCAAAACAGTGCTGACATAATTTTAGGTTGCTGAATTCAGGTTGCTAACCCAATAGACTACATGAATCAATTTATCGAGTAATAGTGATAACATAAATATATCATTTTGAAGTATTATACTCTATCTTTTTCCTCATGGTCACATGTCCAAGAATATCCTTTGAATATTTAAAACTTTTCTGGCATCTTAAAATATTAGCTGCTTCTAATAATAGTGGAATAGCTTTTATAGAACTAATCCTGCAGAAAACTGTTAAAAATTCTGGACAAAATACAAAAAAACCCACAACTCTCTGAACGCAGTGGAGCAGGAAGACCATAAGCAGGAAGAAATTGAAGGGGCGTCAACACTTGGAAAGAGAGAATAACACAGCATAAGGAAAATGAGATTTTTTGTGACCATGAGACCTGCACTACAAGAAATGCTAAAGGGAGTTCTTCAGGCTGAAGGGAAAGGATACCAGATTGAAACTTGGGTCTTCTGGAGGAATGAATAACACCAGAAATGGAAAATATGTGGGTAAATATATTTATTTCTCTCAATTTCTTTAAAACACATATGACTATTTAAAGTAAAGATTATAATGTTATAGTGTGAGGTTTATAGCATATGTAAATGTAATGCATACAATAATTATAGCATAATGTTGAGGAAGGGGAATTGCAAGTTTCCTGCATTTTACATGAAGTGGTACAATATTAACTCCCAGTAGACTGAAAAATTAAGGATGTATGTATGTTATCCTTAGAGCAACCACTAAAAAATAATGCAAAGAGGTAGTGCTAAAATATGAGGTTAGTAGTTTTCAATATGCTGACATGCAGCTAAATCCAGAGTTGAAAGAAGAGTTACAAATTTATTTAAGTGATTAGATATTCAAACATAAGATACTTTCTAAATGGTAAGTAGAAAATACCAGCAGCCTGTAAAAGTACTGAAATAATGCTGAAACTTGCTGGTAAATAATAATTATAATGGCTAACATATATTGCGTGCTGTGTGTCAAGCATTATATTAAGCTCTTTACCTGTATTGTCATATTCATTCATTACAACAACCTTAATAGAGTAGTTGCTATTATTTATTCGATTTACCATGGGGAAAGTGAGGCATGGTGGAATTAAATTATTTATTCGAGGTTTCATAACTAGTAAGTGGCAGAGCCAAGATTTGAACCCAGGAAGCATAACATTAGTGCTTGTGCTCCTCACAACTATATTATACTTCCTCAGAAAATGAAACCTGAATTAAGCTTCATGACCAGCATATTGCAAATAAAGTACCATAAATTAACTAAATTAACGGTAAAGTATTTGTTAAAATATGAAAAATGAGAAACCTTCAATTCCTACTTCTAATGTTCTTGATATTTTATTTTCCCCATACATAATACATACACGTCACTCTTTCCTATGTAAACTTGATAATGATCATCTATCTAGGTGTATCTCCCTGGTCAATGCCTGGGGCACATAATTCCTATTCCAAATTCTTCATCTGGTGGCTCTATTTTGTCCCTTAACCCTTCCTTTTTTCTCGTGGCTCCACTTCCAATATATCTGACTGGAAAACAAGAGCTTCCCATAGCATGGACTAGGAAAATCAAGGGGAAAGTTGGTGAGATGAAGGCTAAGAGGGGAAGAGAGAAAAATCAGGCTGTTATTTGGTAGGGAAGGACATAAGCACTTTTTGAATCTCTCCTATGTGTCAAGTTCATAAAAATGCTCCATTTTTTTTTATCCTCTGCCATGATATAGTTATGTTTTCAAACTTTCTTTTGTTAAATAACAAAGAAATTTTTTCTCAAGTATAAAACAACAGTGCTATTTTATTTGCTCATGGATGTTTTTGTAAGTTCACATTTGTAATGTTTCTCTCAAGTCAATGAGATAAATCATGTTTTGCTGAAAGCAAAATTTTAAAATGAGAATTGTAAATAATTGTGATCTTAGTTTCAATGCCCAGTTATTTCTGTAGTTTGTTTTTGTTGCTCTGTATGAAGAAAAGTGGCCCTACTAACAGAGGGATGGGGAGCCAATCATCCAACCACATCCCCATCCTTTTTCTTGTGTTACCTTGAGCAGTTATAACTACAAACATTATAGACACTTGAGGTTTAAGGCATGCGAGAGAGTCTGAGAGTTTTTCTGAACTGCACATTGAGGGTATACTTCCTCTGTTGTCGTCAGGTAGCTTACTTTGAGGGAACGAGCCTTATGTGTTCAGGGCCCAAGAGAATCCAAAGAGGCTAAAGCTTAGCAAGGTGGGATCAGTGAAGGTGGAGAAATTGGAAGAGGTACATGCAAGGTTTTGCAGGCCAAGTAAAGGACAACAGATCGGATTTTTTTAGTGGATTTGAGATTAGAGAGGGGGCAGGATTCACTTTACATCTTAAAGGATCTGTCTGCAGCATAGGGAAGGTATTGAATATATTGTAGATTAATTGGGGAGGCTGTGATAAGTTGTGGCGGCGGCAGATGATAGTGGCGGTGGAGATGGAGAGAACTAGGCATTCAGAAATATTTTGGATACAGAATAGA